GGGGAGGGGGGGGGAGAAAAGAGGAGAGGAGAAGTATGATACAAGGAAGAATTTACATGAGAACATTCTTGTCCAGTTTCGGTAACTTAATTACTCAATGCTCTGTACATGTTGAGTTGATTTAAGTCATGTGGCAAGTGCTACAATTTCTACCCAATAATGGCACTGGAGCAGAAGTCATCATTTGGCATGACTGCATCAACAAAAGCTGCTGACAGCTAAAACAGATCAAAAGAAGATCAAGTTGCTTAACAAACTACCTATCACTGAGCTCAGAAAGACTGGGGTGAGGACAGGGAGATATCCTGAGGAGTTACAGAAATTTTGGGAGCAAGTATAGAAAACAAACACAGTGGATGTTCTCATAAAATGCTAAAATGAGTTTCAGTTGTCTTATTAAAACGTCTGCGCCATAACACGTTACTTCTCAGTCTTTCCTTAGAAATAAAAATCAAGTCTCTAAGCAGAAACAGAAGGAAAGATATAGCTAGAAGATGAGTGACTTAATGGTTCTAGCTTATCAGTCTTTATGAAACTAATCACACTATTTATTCTATTTTTATCTTATTTTGAATGGACAATATTTATTGGATATTTACTGTATGAAACGCATTGGAATAATTTTTTAATATATCATCTCATTTTCTAAAATTTTTTGAAACAACTTATTTCTGAAAAAAATGTGGACAGGCTGTTTGAATCTTCTAAAATGAATTTCCTAATTTGATTGCTTATAAGGAATCATTTTTAATAGGCTACATTTATCAAATGAATATGTTATCTTAAAGTATTTATATTCAAAAAACATAATCCAATATTCTCCCATTCTGACTCCCATTTAGTCAGATTGACATATATACCTATTTATACCTATTTCATTCCAAAAAAAGAGATAGGGCAGTTTTATTACATGCTGTGTTGATATAAAATGATAAATTCATACTAAATCCTTCCCAGAAACTGAATTTAAAATTTTATTTCACAAAATTTCCTTCTTCATTTCATAAAAACATATTTTCTATGGAAAAATTCAAATTTTGGAAAAGCAAAATAAAAATACATATGTCATGATTATTTTCAGTTTTTAAGGCTAGCTCAGAGTTTGACAGCCTTGTAAATACCTCTTCAGGCTGATATCATTCTACAAGAGTAACATCTAATTATGGTATTTCATGAACTACAGTTTCATTTCCCAACCTTCACTGTAAGCTCCTCAGAGGCAAGTGTAATGCTTCTGGTACTAACCTGGTACCAGGCTTGCATTTCTCAAAATGTGTTCCACTGACTAGAGATCCCATCAGACATTCTGTGAACAAACCCTTCTTTCGGAGAATACTGTGAATTTCTGCTAACCTTAATTTAACCCAGAAATTCCCACATTCATTTGATCATAAAACTCCATCACTTTTACTTTCTACCGCATCTAACTGTAACTGTCTATGAGCACACTTGGGGAAATACTGTGCGCGGCCAATATACTTGCTAGTTGAGGGAATAGGCCTTTCAAATAATTCTGCCTCACCCCTATATAACAGTGACAATCCTCAGGTTTAAAATTATCACTTTGCTAACCTGGAGGTACTCAGAAATTGCTAAGATGCTCCTTCAATATTTGATTTCTCTAGATACCACATCTCACGAGAAGACATGTATGTGAAAGGAAATAGTTTTCAGAGTGAGTGGCAACTCTTCCTTCCAAACCCATTATCTGGTGTTAGCTAGCTCTTTCTTTTTTAGCTCAAAGTCTTGTGAACACTTGCCATTTTCACAGCTACATGTATATTTAATACCTACAGTAAGAAAGCATGTAGATACTAAAACAAAATGGGATAACATTCCAAAGTGATGCACCAAGCTAAACCAACATAAATCCCCCAGTAATAAGATTATCATCCCTCTGGTTCATCAACTCATCTGTAAACTATGGAATCCTACTTTGCAAGACTCAACTGTTGATCCAAGTATGAAGTGTTTTCCAGATCCCCTAGAAATACCCCAGCACCACATCAGAGTGTGTGTGTATAAAATTTCATAAGCAAACTAAGATACCTGGCGCTGTTTGGAAGTGTGATACATACTATCACATGAATGGTTTTTATTGCTTTACAAAATCATTCTTAAGGTAAATGCACAGTAACAGAGTATTACACAAATGTAACATAGCTTTATTTATTATTACTTTATCACATAAGGCTCTAAAGGGGTACATCTAAGTAACAGAAGTTCATCCCCTGACAGTGATGACTGTTATCTTTGTGTATCCACAGACACGCAGCAAATGTCTGAAATGCACCAGGTCCATAATAAATATTGTTGAATAAGAATTACAAGCAAACTACACAATGCTGATATGTTGATTTAAATCCATATAAAAATATGTATGACCAGATAATTACAACTCCATGAATTTGATTACAGATCAATACTTTTGGCAAAATACATCTCAAAATTGGGAAAGGGTCTCTTAAAAATTATGTCTTCTTTTGTTTTCCACACATGGGTAACAAGGCCCCTTCTTCTCACTCAATGATACAGTATCAAATGAAAATGGCATATAAATTTGTTCACTCCCTGTCTGTGCTAAGCAGAGTTGGAAAGAGGCTTAAATAGGTAGCTGAGATAAATTCTCGATGCCATGACAATAAGAACAAACCTCATGAAAATAGTATCAAAATTTCTGGTAAAATATTCTGTTACAAATCCTTGTTTTTCTGTAACTATTACTTTTAATTAAAGAAATTTGAAGAATTTCAAACTTTCATCAACATGATTTGATATAAGGCTCCTCAAATAACAAAACAACATACATGCATGTAATTTTCTGACTGTATATGTAAAAGAAAATATTTAGTTCACAGGGAAATTCATGTGCCACAAACCTTGGGAAGGATACTGAGAGAGAGAGGAGAGGGACTGTTTATCTTTTCCTTTAACAGTGATATGATTTATTTCTTTTAACAAATGTTCTTGGCTATAAAGTAGAAACAAGATAATCAAACTTGCTCCTGATGAAAATACCAAACCAAACCAAACTTACTGCTGTTGAGTGGATTCTGACTCATAGCAACCCTCTAAGACAGAGCAAAACTGCCCCGTAGGGTTTCCAAGGAGCAGCTGAATGATTCGATCTCTTAACTCTTTGGTTAGCAGCCTAGCTCTAAACCACTGCACCATCAGGGCTCCTGACGAAACACATTGCTATTCCAGCAATGAGACAGTAGTCAGTAACTAGATTTCTGACACACATAACTTTTGAAACAACAAAAGAATAATAATATTGGTAAACTTTTTCAATTGCCACACACAGAAAAAATCAGTTCGAAGAAGGTATAAAACACTAGTATACTTCCTTTAAAACACTGAAAAGTATACTGTCTCATTTAAAAACCATAAATAAAAAATGTGAGTTTCTTTAGGCTTATAAATTACCTTTCAAGTCTTTCTTTAATTTTCTGAGATCTTTTTGAAAATCTTCAAACTTCATCTGTGAGGCCTGGAAAAGGTCCTGGGGTTCTGGCAGTGGAAAGACACACTGTTCTTTTCCAGCATCCTAATTAGGATGAAACACATGATATTTAAACAAATCATCATCAATATAAATAAGAATAATGTAACAGCAACAATGGCAAAAATAAAAACAATGCCAAATCACCCAAGAAATAAAGAATAAAAAATACGGCTATATGTAAAAACTCTTACCTCATCAAAATTTCGAAGATAATATGAAACAATATATGACAAAAGGCTTCTGCTATTGTCCTAGGCAGAAAGATCAAAGTAAGTAAAAACTATATTTAAAAAATTACTAAATACACAGTGTTAAATAAAATAAATTCTAGGCAATTCACATTTATGCATAAGAGCATTTAAAATGAAAGCGGGAACTCTACATTTCAAATCATCTCACTGTATGTAAGAAGTTTAACCATATACATCTTATTTTGCAGTATTCCACTGTAAGTTCCAAGTGGAAGTACAGCTATTTAAGGGTAGAGACTCAAGTATAAATACCTCCTATTTTATCCTCCTCAATCAGAAATTTAGTTCGTTAATTTTTATGTTTCACTATTAAGGAGTACAACTACTATCTTAACTAAAATAATTAAATAGTCCAAGAATTTATATACAGATAGGCTAACGGGTACCACCACAAGAGTAATTTGATTGAGACTCAGTATATAGATAAGGGACATTAAAAAGTTAAATATCATTTCAACTAAGTGGGGGCTTTTAAAATATAATTTCATATTATAAATTGTTACATCATCAACTGAGATTTGAGAATAAATACACTCCTATAAGTAATACAATGTGTGTATTTTAAAGAAAAAATGTAAAATTGTTTCACATCTAATAGTCTTTATTCAAAACGTTTTTCACCCTCTTTCGAGGACATATAGAGACATTTTAATTTTAGATTTATTTGTATTGCTCAAAATAAATACTACATACTCTGAATGTGGGAGACCAAATATATATTTATTTTAAAAACAAATCCTATGATACAAACTAACTTGTGGAATGCTCCATCTAACTACATTTTCCCCTACTTATAAAAACAGCAACGCCCTTTCATGATAAAGTCAAACATGACACAGTGATATTTCTTTTTTTTTTCTTTTATTGTACTTCAGGTGAAGGCTTACAGAACAAATAGTTTCTCATGAAACAGAAGTACACATGTTATTTTATAACATTGGTTAACAACCACACAACATATCAACCCTCTAAATTCTCAACCTCTTTTTTTTTTTTTTTGGTGAAAATACACATAGATAAAGATACACCATTTCAAAAATTCCTACATGCACAGTTCAGTGACATTGACTACGCTCTTCCAATTGTGCTGCTATTCTCACTTAAGATGAAGGATTCCAGAAAAACATGTTGCCCTATGACAATGGTTAACAATCTCACAACACATCAACAATATCCTTACTCAACCTTGGGTTCCCTATCACCAGCTTCCTTGTCCCCTTCTG